TCAAGAAAAGGTCTGTCAGCGACGTACTACTTGTTTTCCATCAAAACTCACCATTCCTGCATAGTCAACCATCTTTTCCAATGAAAGCATCACGTCGCCGACGTCTTGGCCCTGATCGAGAAAGCCGAGCGGCTTTCCAAAGGTCAACTCTCCAATCACATCGAACGCATCTGAATTGAGACGCATGCATGTTAGCTACTTTCCGTGATTAAAATTACTGGTCATAGCCACTCACAGTACTGAAGCCATGTCGCAAGGTCTAATTCCCGCCCAGCGTCGGCAAATTCATCCAACTTCTCAAGCAACTTCTCTATCGTGCTGTCGACAAAGGGCTCGAATTCTGTCAGTGTACTCATAGAATAAAGACTCGAGATGGGTCTCTTGATCTTCGCATGGAAGTCTTCATCGAGCGTCGTGAAAAGTGTCTGCGTTGGTTTGCCGTTGGCCAGCTGCTGCTGTACTGCATAGAATTCTGTCTAAGAGATTTCTTTCAGTAGATGTCGCGAATGCCCGAGACGACTCCAATTTACCTTGCGATATCCCTTGTTAACGCCATAGATGGTTTTCAAGGCATCAAGGTTTTGGACGCTGACTAGATTCGGTCCAAGTCGTACATACTGCCCATACTGTGCATGAAGCTTGATGTGCGTCTCATGAGCTCTTCCGCGTGCTACGTCAACGAACCTCCATAGGTCGGAGATCTTGGCTAAGAATGGGCCTGGTATCTTAGAAACACCTCTTGTTGTGAAATTCCGGACCAAGTGAATTGCTAAGATTGCAGTAATCAAAATTGGAAGATGAGCTGAAATGAATGCAACAACTTCCGAAATAATGGCCATTTTCCCTGTGAAACGACGATGGGATCGCCGTGAAGTTGGATTGGTTCGATAGCAGAATTGTTCCTCGTCTGGGATTTTCCGGACGCCGAAGGCGAGAAGGAAAGGGAAGTATTACAGTCAACGTTATTTTAGCAAAATACTGGTCATCCGGCCTCTCCGCATTATGAACAACGCTTCCGGTTCCGAAATGCGCTCCCACACGGGCCGGCTTTTCTGTCTTGATGTATCACTTTTGCAACTGCCGATCACCCCGCATCTTGTGATCGGAAGTTCGGAAACAAAGCTATATAAAGCATGTTCCGTATTAATGTATTCAAAGTTTCAACAAACCTTCTCCAAAGGTGACTAGGTAGTTAGGCATCCTTTTGAAAAAGCCGTAAATAATGACATGTTCCCGCGCCTCATAAGCGAGGCTCAAAGCTGTGAACGTCTAAACGATACATGTCTTGCAATAATATGCCCCTCTGTTAGCAGCAACTCATCTTTACATATATGGAACCACTGAGATTTCATGAAAAGTTCATTAAGCCGGCTTCAATCTGTACGGCTGTGTTTCCTAGACTTGCCGCCTGCATCGTCTTCGAAGCAATCGAGTATCGGAAGCCAATCGGAAGTGTTTCTAGTACGATTATGATCTATTACCTACCCTGCCTATCATTGGCTATCTGCAATTCTCTTCTTCTCTTTCTGCATCAAGTCGAGCAGGGCGCCTTCGGGGGCGTCATCAGGGTCCATGAAAACCTCCACCATCCTCAAACCCTTCCCGTCCTTCAGCTGATCATCCGTCAACACTTTCTCTAGCTCACCCCAGGTCTTTGCGGAGCCTGTATACGTCTCTGGATCGCCTCCGAAGAAACCCGGCGCCTGCAAGTAGCGCCAGCGGGCAACGTCGTTGTAGGACTGATGCAACCCATGTATGCATCGCTCAATGGTGTACCCGTCATTGTTAAGAAGGACGATGATCACGTCAAGCTTGTGGCGTATCATGGTAGAGATCTCCTGAACGGTCATCTGGAAGCTTCCATCGCCGATGAACAGAATTGTACGTGCTTCCTTGATGTCGTGGTATTTGGATGACTGGATGAGTTCTCGCTGCGCCAAGGCAGCGCCCTGCGCAGCAGGCAGCATGTATCCGATGGAAAGCCAGGTTGTCGGGAGGAACATTCTAGTATGGGCCGGTAGGGCAGGCAAAGACTCGAGATCCATGACCGGCCGTTCCTGTCTCCCGAAGATGATGTCGCCTGGACGTACGAAACTGGACGAGATGCCAGAACTTGGACTGGGTGATCTTTTCTCGCTTGCCACCTCCGAAAATTCTATGCCGTGGTCTCTGGGAAGTTCTGGGTAAGGAGCGTATTGATGAACCTTGGACTTTTCAAGTCTTTCGATAAGCGACCTGACTACAGCTCTGACGGAGACATCGCGAAATGTTTGGTCCGCTATCTTGATGTTGGCGCTAAAGAGGATTGTCACATCTGGCTTGGGTATGCTTGAGAAAGCATAAGTGTTCGTCGAGCTGAAGTGAGGACCGAAGCACAAGATCAAGTCCGCCTTCTCAACGAACGTCTTGACGGCGGGATCGGCAAATCTGCCCGAGTAGATACCGTGGTAATTTGGCAGACTCTCGTCGACCAGTGACTTGCTGAAAGCAGTAGTCCAAGTAGGCCATCCCGTGGCTTTCACCAGTTCCTCGGTCTGCTCGATAATACCCAACGGCCTCGTTTCTCCATCAACGAGAATCATTGGACTTTTTGCAGCATTGATCTTGTGTATTATTGCCCCCAGAGCAGTCTCGTCGGCTGCTGTTGGCACGGCATCGGGCAAATGAATCGGTGTATCCAGCCCGTCGGTCGAAACAGGAACGACAACTAGGTCCTGAGGAATTTCAATGTAGACTGGACGGCTTTGGGTCAGGCACTGCCTCAGTACCTCGTCAATTTGACGCGGTGCCGACGATGCATCTCTGAGATTCGCCTGCGCAACGGTGACATGCGAATGCATCTCCGCGAACCGTCTGTAGTTCCCATCATTGAAGCCGTGGTGCATCAAGGTCCTGCTATCCTGTAGGACCCTAGAGGGCGTGCCGACGATGTGAACCACGGCTGCGCGTTCAGCATACGCTCCAGCGACAGCATTGATGGCTGAGAGCTCGCCAACGCCGGATGTCGTGATGAGGGCCCCGACTCCCTTGATACGAGCATATCCATCGGCGGCGTATCCTGCATTTAGCTCGTTGGCGTTGCCGACCCAAAGTAACCCTGCGGGTTCGACATAGTCGAGCAGCGAGAGGTTGAAGTCTCCCGGAACACCGTGGATGGCACCTATGCCGAGCTGGTGTAAGCGAGTGAAGAGATACTCTGCGAGCTTGACAGTTGGAGGTTTGCGATCTTGAGTCATGTTGAGGGTGCTTTGGGGGCCAGAGGAAATGTCTATGAAGGTGATGGAAGGATGAATTACACAGGTAAGCTTGACCCCTCATATCCACATGCACTGAGACTTGATCAAGCTTCCCTCCTCAAAGCCCCTTGGTTTTCCCCTCATCTCAAGTCGAGAACTATGTCATAGCGAGATTTGTGGGCCCTAAAGGTAGTGCATGTACAGATGACTTGCATGTCTCGGCAAAGCATTCCCATCTACAATGCTATGCTGAGTGTAGCACCTCCACATCTGCATCAGACAGACACCTCGTTATCTACAATGATATCTAGGTGCGTAACAATAGGTCAGGAGCTATGAGTGATCAAACTCAAAGATAGTTGAGAAATCACCCCGACGAATCCCCATCATTCCAGACGCTGGTTGGCCTTAGAGAGGTGTCAGCTTTCCCCAAAAGCTTAGCTCCTCAAGCCACCAAGCGTGAACAAACCCCGCCAAATAGCACACTTCCCCGCAAACTAAGCCGAGGCTCAGGTCACAGAGCTACCTGTATTAGTTCAAGACTTACATAACAGCCTTTCCGAGCTCATCTTATTGTTCAAGCGTTCCGGCCGGTTAGCCTCGGTATATGTAGCGTCCTGCCGACTTGATGTTTCTGTGAATGGGTCACCGCTGCCCATGAGAACCATGAGAATGCTTCTGTCTTCCACCGCGGATTTGGAACTAGTGTGACATTGTGGCTCTCTTTCTGCCCTGATTCCAGTCAGGACTCTGAGGTGTGGAGGTGCTTGTCAACTTCCTCGTCAAGCAAGTCGAGATGATTTACACGCCAGAAGCATTCGCTCGTGGACTGCGATATCAACTCGACCTTGGAGCTTAAGTGAATCTTGAGGAAGCGATTAGACTCTGGATGAATGCGCTCTCAAGGTGAAAGACACGTTGTGACCTGTTGGTTTGGCTCTATACCAACACTTGACACATTGGGCTGTTGGAAATAATCGAGAGGGCCTTTCAACATGCGCTGCAGTGACTTAGACTATGCTAGAATGATGGTGAGTTTACTCATCGAGCTGTAAGTTCTTGTATAAGAAACCACGCTTCTGGTGTTTGTGTTCGTGTGAAAGAAAAACGGTTTACCCCGAGGTTCAGAGCTGAGTGCACCTTGTAGAGGAATGGAAAAGAGGTCTTTCGTTGCCTTGAAGAAAGGCTAAGACCGTAAGCTGGATTTGAGCTTGCGATCAAGGTTAATCAATCGCGTGGGGGTACTAGTTTATATCATGTCAACTGTCTCTTGAGGCATTTCACGTCAAAGTCAATTGATTGAGAAACAACGAAGAGAGGACTGAGTCGGATTGACGTACTATTGTTGCTACACGTGTTTCTCAGTACGACAATGAAATGGGAAATCCCTCGTTGTAGCAACGTATGCATCATCATGATGGTTGAAGAATCTCAGGAGAAATCATTCCATTCGGAAGAACCTACCAGAAACATAGAGCTTGCATGAACATAGCACAGATCTTGAAGAAGTCTAGCGTAACTCCCTTTACGTCTGAGATACTCAGAGCGCGGGATGATTTGCGACGTAAGAAGCAAAGTCTCCATTAGTGACTGTCGAGTTGAGTGTGAAAGTGAGACTCATGCGATTTTTGCAACTACCATGATCAAATGGCTTGCAAGTAGAATGCAGTAATCGAGATCTAGCATGCCAAAGAAAAGGTGTTCCAGCTGAGAGATAGCGAGATCGAGTGGAAGACGAAGGGTCGTTGCATCTGTACGTTACGTCTACGCGATGAGGCTTCGTACCTCGGGCCGTTGACGCCGTCTCAAATCTGTATGAGGCTCAATAACGAAGTAGTGTCGATCATCGTGTCTATAGTCAGATTCCTTGCTCCTGGAGGGCTTCTCGCGTCTATCTCGTAGGAGCTTGAAGCTGACAGGCCAGAGCCCAGAGAAGATTCAGACAGCAAGCCTGTTGTGAGAATCTATAAGCGAGCAGGACATCGGTAATCCCGTCTCTACTCGCAAGGGCTATCTGCAGCGCAATACGGGGGTGGATCAGTTTCATCAACCGAAGGAGAGGTGCGTTGGATGCTCCAGGCTTCGGACGCTTTTCCCGCTCAGGTTATGCCGGCATGCGGCACCGCGGGTTAGGGGTCTGAAAAAGAGAGCATGACAACCATCATGTTCACGGGTATAATGCTTGTGTTCTGTCGAAGCGCATGAAGCAATAGAGTATGTCGCTGCATGGGTCTAACGCGCGCTGCCTTTGAATTTCTTTTTCACATCTATTTCTCACTCACTGCAAGCGAACGACAGACAAGACGAGTTCTATCGGGATACAATATTCACCTTAATAGAACCGCACCTTTCTTAACGTCCCGAGAAGACGGTGTGCTTTTCCGATTACGTTTTTGCTTTCATCTCGGTAGACTGTTTATCACAATTTCTAGAAAAGTCAGACCGGGACGAAGAAGGTCCACACCGATATGGTCAGAAAACCTTGAGGAAACTTCCACCACGAAGTCTGATAACACAATCATGATAGACCAGACGGGATGATCGCAACATCAATTAACTACCCAAAATCGATTGAGTCCACATGATTGAGTCAAGTTGTCTCGAGGTTGGCGGTCCGGTCGCTTTATTCTTTGGCATCTGCACCCAACCATATTTTCTTCTGCCTACCCCGTGTCTATCCCTATCTCTCGACTGGGCAGCGGGCTGCATGCAGCCTGTGAAACTTCTCTTCGGCCGAGCATTACCTTCACGAGAAATGATCGCCCAATCATGCGCGAATTTAAATAAACTGCTTGACTCTTTTGCGTTGGTCAATTTGGATTGGCGATCGATACACTGTGCTGTTAAGCTTGGATATTTTTGGAGACGCTGTTGGAGCTCGACGTTGATCATCCACATGCACTAATCATGACCATGTCCTTAGAGACTGGTAGATCGCTGCCCGCGGGAACAGGAAAACAACCATCGGATGAATACGACCCCGTCAAGAGTCGATGAACACAATCTTCGGTCATTCACCATGCCGTTGCGCCGTTCTAGAATAGTCTCCCATGTTCTCAATATGGCCTCGAATGCTTCGCTTGTCAAGTTTCCGGGCTCAGGGGTGGAAAAGAAATAAAAATACACCTCCAGGTTGGAATAACTGGGTAAATGCGGGATAAAGGTGGGAACCACGTCTCCACGTCTCGTCCCAACTTGAAAGCTTCTGGGGCAGCAGATCGTCCGAACACGGCCCTTGAGCCATTTCGATGGATTTCCATCAGGCCATTACAATGACCCATGAATCGGACTAGAAGGCTCTCCAACAAGCAGTTCGGGCACCGTCAGGTCGAGTTGCACCGAGAATGTCTTACTTACAGACATGCTCGTTGTTTGTCTCTGCAATGTTTCGCCCAACGCCATGGAAAGAATCCCAATGACGATGGACCGTGTTTTCCTCTAGCAAGCGCACGAGTCACTGCGAATTCGCCCCCCGAGCTAAGCGTCTGCCAAGCGCTTGACGCAGCAGCTGCTGGGAGAAGCTGTGGAATATTCTCCGGAAAAGCATACCAAGCACCCAAAGAGATTTTAGCGGATCGACCTGGCTTTTACCAGCCCTTGACTCGGCTATTAATAGGTTAAGGTTCATCGGCGTTATCGAGAGCGACGCTGGGCTGGCGTCAGTTTCACTTTGATGGACCCTTGACTGGGAGCAAGTGACCGACTTTTTAGCGTCTTTGACTCTTGGATTTTTTGTCGCCTCTCTCTCTCTTTCTTCTCCGGCTTATTGGCCGTTTCGTTTATGTAAAATGTGTTCATCGGTCGGGAAACGGGTTACCTCTCGCTTCCCTAGCCCCGGAGGCTCTGCCTTGAGCAAGAGTTACATGCTACGTTACGGCCCTTGACCCATATCGTCTAGCCGTTTGCCTCCCGGGGAGTTAGACTCCTTGCAGCTCATCGGCCATGTCGCCATGAGGAAAGCCAAGACGAGTCCCAAAGAGACGGCTCCTGTCTAAAATGCCTAAAATGTCTGAAAATAGGGGACGTGGGGCAGCCGGTCGTTTGTTTGTGACATCACTGCCCACCTCTGCCCTATGTTAAGGCACCAGGTGGTATGTGCTGGTAACAGCATAACACGACCGATATTGGCCTGGCACCATATGGTGGCTGGGGGGCGCAGCTTTGTGGTTGAGTTTGTGAGCGATTCAGCAGGACCAGCCACCGCCAGCCTCTCGCTCTCAGCTCTGCCTCTTTTCTTCTCTCTTCTTGTTTCCCCATCTTTCTGTTCCTGTGTCGAATAGGGACCACCGGTTCATCCATCATCCATGACAATGGCTGTGCTAAATAGAGAACCGAACCAATCGGCATCCTCACCTTCTCCTTGGCCGGCTCCGTCCTCCCGAGGCCGCCGGTTGTGGCGCTTTCAACTTTCTCCATCCACACGCACACTTTGTTAGTAAACGTGCAGAGACCGAGGTGCGAAGGTCAACCAAAATCTCGGGGCAGAGGCAACGGGTTTCGCGGGCGGCGCAGACGGCAGCGCTAGGAGGCGGGATGCCGCATCGCCAAGTCTCTCCGAAGGGTACCATGCCATGCCATGCCATGTCACTCACCCTCGCCTCCCCTTGCGAGGCGGCTCCTCTCTGTTGTCCGCGACTCCACTGCAAACCACAGGAGGCAGGGCTCATGATGTCAATCGGGCTCCGCAGGTATCCCTGGCCGGCATTACGAGAAGATCTTCGCCCCGGCAGTGCACACACTCAACTTTGGGCACTGGTTGGATTGGCGCAACCAACGCGACCTCGCTTTCTGCACCCCGTGATTACGAGATGATCATCGAAACGGGGTCCCCTGGACTCCTAGAGCTTTCTGGTGGCACTGCAGCAACCAGCATTTTGTGATGGTCAACCCGAGATATAAGACGACCGACAGATCCCCCTCTCTAATACCTTTCAGAACATTCATCTCATCACACTCAACAACCAACAATCTTAATCTCAAAGTAATCATCCGACCACATCAGTCTTTACACCCACAGTCACTTCAAACACAACAACCATCAAAATGCAGTTCACCAACACCCTCGCCGTTGCGACCTCCCTCATCGCCGCCGTCTCCGGCGCCGCGGTCCCCCAGCTCATCACCCGCCAGAACAACGGCACCACAAACGGCACCGCCCCCGGCCTGCCCGCCGACGCAAAGTTCCAGCTCATGGCCCTCCGCTCCGCCAGCGAGGTTCACTTCTCGACCTTCCAGGCCGCCAAGAGCTCCATCTTCCTCCAGCTGCCCAACCAGAACGCCACCTGCGACAGCACTGAGGACGACGACTCAGCGACCTTCTACCTGAACCAGGACGACGGCGGCCTCTACCTCTACGCCGCCTCCGCCACCCCTCAGCAGCTCTACGCCGACCGCTCCGGCATGGGTCAGGGCAAGCTCGGCTACACCACCGGCGCCCAGCCCGCGCCCCGCAACGGCGAGCGCACTGGATGGAAGGTTGACCAGTACGGCGACCTCACCCTCGACGGCGCCAGCTTCCTGGCCTGCCCCAACAGCATCGAGGACAGCTGGTCCGTCTGGATCTCTTCCGGTGTCGCCAACCCTGCCGGCAACACCGACTGCCTCGGCATTGCTGTCCGCGCTGTCCAGATCACCGACCCCAACAGCTGCAGCTACACTTCCTAAGCGGTTGCTTGGCTTGTTTGATCTCTTCATCTTTCACACATTTCTCATCAAATTGGCATCGGTATAAAGGCATTGGGACTACCCGGGTATATCCATAGAATGGCGAACATTTGCATTTGTGGCACACATTGTCATCACGGTCATTCCGTTGTTGACACCTGTATATTGTACTGTAGAAGGATTTGCCTTCTTCGAACATGAATTAATATGTCATTTTCAATTTTACTGCTCGATCTTCACAGTGACTTGTCGTGATCTTGATGCTCTGGCCTTCCGAAGAAACTTTAACATCGCCCACTTGAACGATATAACTACCGCGACGATAGATAAGAAATTATTAGTGAGTCTGCATCCATGAGCAACTCGCAGCCAGGTACGGCCGTCACGCTTGCCAGATTGGTTAGGCTGTTCTGCTTCGGAGGACTCTCACAAGTGGACCATGATCGAATGCCAATCCAATCGGAGTTCAGTTTTGTGTATCTTCTCTCTTCTCTCCCCTCGCATTGCAACCACGTCGAAAATGTCCATGATATTGGTACGACGTTATCAATCATTAGGATTATTATCGAATGTTTCTATACTGCTCCACGGCTGCTGCTAGCCCTCCACGGCAGCGATACCCTCCTTATCGCCCTCCAGTGCAGCCTTGTTGAACTCTGGATCATTCGTCGGCAGCTCGACGTGCCACTTTGAAATTTGCGCGGCACCAATCTTGACCTCGCCGTCCGTACCAAAAGACAGGATATGCCCACCCTGAGTTCGGTCCTCGGTAATGAAGTGAAGATGATCGCCGGCGACGCTGATGCCCATAGTATACTCTGGTGACCTGAAGCCGACGACAGTACCCCGCACCGGCTCCTCAAAGGTGTGCGACGCCTGGTGCTTGCCGACCTCAGTCAGGCTCTCGCCGGGCCTACTCCCGCCGGCAGTCCGCACCGTAATACTTTGAAGACACCTCAATCCTGATGGCGAGGAAGAAGTTTTTCGAGTCAGGAAAGTCTTGTGAAAGGTGCTCAAAGAGCTCCTTCTTGTTGTTGAACGCGGCCTTGATTGTTGCTGTGGGCTGGAAGCGGGTGACCATGGCGAATGGGGCGACAGCATCGGAGGCCGGGCTCGTGTCGATTGGGGTCACGGTGTTATCTGACTTCATTTGGTAGAGCTTTCCGTCGAGGATGATCATCTCGCCGACCATGTAGCGGAATGTTCCCAGGCCTTGGTTTCCGTGGGAGATGAGGTCTGATACCGGTAGGCCCTTGGAGGCGACGCCGTCCATCAAGGCCGAGATGATGGAGTACTGGAATATCTCGTTGACCGCCATGGTGTCTGATGTGGTTTACTGGTATTCTCGTTGTTGCCAAGCGTGGAATCGAGGTCTAGGGTATCGGAATTAGGACTGAAATAAGCTGCAGTTGCCAAATGAGAAGAGGTGGTCACGGAAAGCGAGACGTTGAACGAGGTAGTAGGTGGTGAGTGAAGGTTTGGGGTTCTGTTGAGTTTGGCCACGAAAGCGGCCCGCTGTTGCTGACTGCTTACTGCAGAAGGAGTACACCTGCCCACGCACCTGCCCTCCGTCCACCGGATCGGAGGTGTCGGGAGGCCACGGAAGGCGGCTCCGGGACAAGCGCAGGCGGGACCTTCCTAAGTTTCAGCGAACGGAAGCTGCGAATGTGGCTCTTTCCTGGCGTTAATGGTTGAGTCATCAAGGTCCATCACAGTGAAATGGAGAATGGAAGGCGCCGCTTTGGGTCCCACTGTCCCGAGGAGGGCGCTGACGTCAGTCGCACGGCATCACCGGCCACATCACCGCCTCGCTCTTTCGGTCTTTGAACTCTGGTGCCTCTTGCTCCTCAACAACTCAGATCTCACCGATTGACGGCCAAGCGCTAGGGAACTTTGCGGCATATCAATCTCCACCTTTGCTCTCTCCATCTCCGCCTCTCGCCGATATCGTGATCGCGAACGTGAAGCTGAAGTTCTTGCTTTTGCTCATGACCACTTGATCTTTTCTCATTCTCGTAGGGCCCTTTGAAATTGACGCAAACGGGCTACCTTATACCCTCAGCATTCCTTGCCCAGCTATACCGACAAGATCAGACACACCTAATGCTTCACTTCTTTTCATCCTAACCAGGAGTTAATCAGAATCGTGCTCTCTGCATTGACTCGATACCACGCTCAAATACGCTCACGATCACTCAATGTCTTCAGAAACAGTAGATGTGGTGATCGACTCTCTTGTCGCCGCCGGCGTCAGGCACATCTTTGGTGTTCCGGGTGCCAAGATCGATAGCGTCTTCAATGCCCTGATTGACCGCCCGAGATCCAGCTGGTTGTTTGCCGCCACGAGCAGAATGCCGCCTTCATCGCCGGAGCGATCGGCCGTATCACAGGCCGACCCGGCGTGTGCATCGCTACCTCCGGCCCGGGAACTAGCAACCTTGTCACCGGCCTCGTAACCGCCAACGACGAGGGTGCACGTTGTTGCCATTGTCGGCGACGTCAAGCGAGTGCAAGCAGCCAAGAAGACACATCAGAGCTTGAGAGTGCAGCTTCTCGAGCCCGTCACCAAGAAGACCACCGGCGCCGTGCGGATCAGATCTCAGAGATTATGCTCGATGCCTTCAGAACCGCGACCGCATGCCGCAGGGTGCAACAGCTATCAGCCTACCGATAGATATCATGACAGTCGGAACCAAGACGTCAATCCCTGCGCTGCCCCCGAGCGCCTTCACACCGCCCCAATATGGCACATCACCGTCAGCGTCACTGAGCAGAGCGGCGGCTATGATCCAAAACGCAAAATTCCCAGTTCTGTTCCTCGGATCGAGGGCAGCAACACCAGATGCCGTCGAAGCTGTCCACGGTTTCCTCCGCAAGCACCCCATCCCCGTCGTCGAAACATTCCAGGCTGCAGGCTCTATCAGCCAGGAGCTCGCTCATCTCTTCTACGGCCGCATCGGCCTCTTCCGCAACCAACCCGGCGACAAGCTTCTTTCCCAGGCCGATCTCGTCATCGTCGCGGGCTACGATCAGTCCGAGTATGACGCCGACGCGTGGCACAAGAGCCAGAGCCTCGAGATCTTGCATCTGGACTGGATCCCCGCCGACTACGGCGCTTTCTACAACCCAAAGCTGGAACTCGTAGGCGCCATCGCCGCCAACGTCAAGGCGCTAGGCGACATTCTGGCAAACGTCTCCCGCCCACAGGAGTCCGAGATAGCGAAGTCCATCTTCACAGAGTTCCACGCTTGGGAACAGAGCCCCCAAGCTCTGGGCCAGACTGGCGACGGTCCTGTGCACCCGCTCTACTTTATCAAGCTCATTCAGGGTCTATTGCCCGCGTCGACGACTTATCAAGCTCATTCAGGGTCTATTGCCCGCGTCGACGACTTTGGCATCGGACGTCGGCAGCATGTACATCTGGCTCTCGCGGTTCTACTTCGCATACAGCCCCAAGTCTTTCCTCGTCTCCAACGTTCAGCAAACTCTCGGCGTGGCTCTCCCATGGGCCATCGGCGCCTTTCTAGCCCAGGAGCCGCCTTGCTCCAAGAAGGTCGTAAGCATCAGTGGCGACGGCGGCTTCCTCTTCAGCGGGCAGGAGCTAGTGACTGCCGTGAAGCAGGGTACATCACGCACTTCATCTGGAACGATGGAAAGTATAACATGGTGGAGTTTCAGGAAGTCGACAAGTACGGCCGCAGTTCAGGCGTCGACTTGGGCGGGGTCGACTTTGTCAAGTATGCCGAGGCGTTTGGTGCCAAGGGATTGCGCGTCAATCGATCGTCGGAACTGGAAGCCGTCATGAAGGAGGCTTTGAGTTATCAGGGAGTCTGCATTGTCGACGTTGAGATTGACTACTCCCACAACCACGAGCTTATGAAGAATGTCATCCAGGACAATATTAGTTAGAGTTTTGTAACCTGTTTAATGAGCGATAGAAATGCCAGACAGCCGTTGTTGCCAAGTCTGCAGGTCACTGTCTCCTTAGAGGAAATTGATAGAAGTTTACTTCTCTCGATTGTTACTTTGTTGGAGGGATGGCGATGCATCGAACGAACTCATGTTGCCTGCACGAAATGCAAATGATATCTCTTGGCGACGATCGAGTGTTACAGGGACGCATCGTTCGCAATCCGTTCAATGTCGCCCTTTCTCGGATGCTCCGGAACACAGTCCGGGACCACGATCCAGCGATCCAGCGGTCTGCGTATGGATACGCAAGGAAGATGTATTGGCAGGCATGAGCTGTTTCGATCAATTGCCGAGCTCGACAGCACGCATCTAGACCATCATAGTCCCTTCCCATGGTCCGCTTGCAGACTCCCAACTATTCGCTCATTCTCGCCAAGGAACTCGACGGTCTCGGACTTTGAGTACCGGTAGTCATGCTGGATTCTCGAGTTGATCTTGTCCTAGTCGTAGCGGAAGAGACCTCCCCACCTCTCCTTGTCTCAGCCCTAGGAATCGGAATCGGAATTCCTTCAGGGTCTTCATGTCGGTTTCCGGACGCACGGATACTCCTCCAGATGGACCTACATGGGGGACGGGCAGACGAGGTTCGTCTGCGTTGCATCGGGAGGTGTGGAGTTTTGATGCTCTGATACGGTAGATGATATCATCATTTATGATAGGTACAGTACTGAAATACATAGAACCAGCATCTGCAAGAGGGCCATTCTTATCTGTATCTGCCAGTCGGACATATCCTACTGCACTCACTCTTACTGCAGAATCTAACTAGTGAATGCATGATTGCAAAGGCAAAGAGAGGCTCTCTGAGAAGAAGCGGGGAGAAGAGATGTGCGGATGTGAAATCCGTGCCGAGCACCGACCCTTGATTTCTAAGCTGGGTGTACCATGTTTGTCTGCTTCCCCCGTAAACTCCGCCGGGAGCTCAGAGAAGGGGACTGGAGCCAAGCAATCGAGTGAGCGGGGTTGTTCCCCCCTCCTCTCTTGAGTGTGAGGGAACAAGTTGCATCACGACATCGGTCTTTCAATGGTGCAACTTTCCGACCTCATTGTGTTGCTACTGTTGCATTGGTAATCAATTAGCAACACTCGATTCCTTCAAATACGCACCAACCTCACCATCGCCAGTCAGTCCACCCGCAGCTCTTCAATTCGAAAGCCAAGACACCAAGTCTCAAATTCCCGACAAACAACACAATTAGCAGCTTTCCAAATCATCGACAATAGCTTGGATTAGAAACGGAATCCTGACAATGTCTTCCGCCGCGCCCAAGATCAAGTTGTACACCAACCACGGCTGCCCATGTACGTGACATTCATTCCTAGCCTCATCCTCGTTTTCCCTTTCCGTCTCTTCGTATTCAACCCCTCTTCCTCTCTCCGCGTAACCTCCTACCCCAGAGAGCCACGTGCAGAATTAAGCATGAAGGCAGACTGCCAGCCCCTCATGAAGTCTCACGACTCAAACCACTGCATCACCCTCCAAAATAACTAAGATTCGCCTATCTCAAGACAAAGGAACTAGATATGCACCACAATAGCTAACCTCAAAATATCAGGGGCTCACCGTGCACACATCGCCCTCGCAGAGCTGGGCCTCCCCTTTGAGGAAGAAATTATCGACCTCTCGGTGCCCCGCACAAAGGAGTACCTGGCCATCAACCCACGCGGCCTTGTCCCCTCCCTCTCCTACGACGGCGAAATCATCACAGAGTCCGCCATCGTCAGCCAGTTCCTGGCCGACGCCCACCCGTCCCACCTCGTCCCCGCCGCCGGTAGCAAGGACGCCGCCCTCCGCCGCGCGCGCATCAACTTCTTCGTCGACACCTACTTCAGCAAGGCTAACTCGTCGCTGTACAAGCTGCAGCTCGCAAAGTCCGAAGCAGAGGCGAACGAGGTTGCGGCTGGGTTCATCGATGTCATCGCCAAGGAGGTTGAGCCGCTGTTGAAGGATGCAAAGCCGTACTTTGGGGGCAGTGACAAGGTTACCTTGGCCGAGGTCCTTACGGGTTCATTCACGCTGAGGCTCTTCTCGTTTGCAAACTACGAGCTCATTCCCAAGAGTATCCTGACGTCGCTGGAGGAGAAGGCGCCTAGCTTCTACAAGTGGGCGCAGACCGTCAACAGCACGCCTAGCGTCAACGGTATCTACGACGAGAAGAATGTGGTTGAGCGGACCAAGCACCGTATCGCTGCATGGCTGCGCAGGCTTGACAGGAGGGTGGTAGCCGACTTGTGGCTGTATGAACATGGCTGTTAGTCATCAAGGCATTCCGGGAAGTTTAACCAATCCCATGATATTAGCGTTATAAGTTACTTTTGAATATCACCTCACTTTGAGTTGTCAACGCAAGGACCCATGTCCCTTGGAGACATTGGGAAAAGACTAAATGTTTTACAAGATGTGGCTGTACAGCCCCTGGAGTGTGGTTCGAGGATGGCTTGAGTGGCCGTTATCTCACCTAAGTGACAGTATCTGGCGTCCGGGAATCCTCATCAATCACCTCCTCAAGGAACATGACCAGGCGTGGAAAACCTGGGTAAGGCATATTATCCCCAGGGGCATGAAGGTTCATGATGTGACTGGATGTCACCCAAAGCCTCCTTCCATGCTCAGTTAATCCGAGGATTAACAGCAAAAAGGATGTCCTTGTTACTCAGAGTGATCTTGAACCTTACGCACAGATCTTCACCATCGAGATGGTGGCCAGCAATCGAGGGAACAACCCGGGCGGGACGAAGTCCGATCTCTCTTGCAAGCCTAGACCGCGACGGCTGGTCTGCCAGGCTGCGTTATGCTTTTGCTTCACTGATTTTACCGCAGGGCCACTTACCTTCCGGCAGGCAAAATTACTGAACAGAATAACTCTCGTACGATGATGGACTACTCTTTTCGGCTTTACGAGCTTGAGACTGCTCGTCTAGCTTCAAGATGACTTGACTTGCACTGCGCCCAAACAGAGTGCAAGGAGAAGGGCAGCAATTCCAAGGGCCGAAGAATGCAGGAGGGCAGAAAAAATCCATATCTTACCTGCACATAATAGAATCACAGATTGGATCTCACGTCACACAGCTGCCAATGCTACATATGATCGTTTCGACGTACAAAAAGCACATCATGCTTTTTGACAACCGTTGAGAGATTTCGCCTGATTTTTTCGCGCTCGAGATTCTGTCACATCACCCGCAGCGGAACGCATCTCGCCCGAACGGAGATGTATACCGATTAGTAGTCCCTCCGAACCAGAAGATTCAAATCTTCGGCTCAAGAGAGTGCTTGGATACAGATTGTCTCCCACTTACTGGCGGGAGACTCGAGAGGGCGGATGTGTCTTGTTCAGAGGATCAGATCAGACTGGTCGCAATGGGTTTGAAGGTGGTGGTGTAAAGCTTTGGTTCTAGAAGAAACAAAGAAAACGAGATGGAGGGCCAAGTACACTGAGAAGCTTTTGCTGGTCTTTGCCTGGTCTTCTGCTGATGGTGTGTACTGCTAACTCGTTTGCCACAGATGAGTCAAATTAGCTCCTATCCAGATTAAAACTGACTGGATTCCTGATAATCAGTGCCTAGTAGAAAAGATACACGTGAATCAGTTTTGCGGGTAGCCAGCATCTGCCGTGGCGGGGGGGATTGGGCTAATCGCTTGTCCGCTGTCAATCAAGTTTCGAATAGGAAAGGTAGGTAGATAGACCAGTACCTACATGTACACCAAGCTAGGCGCAGACGTTGAGATCACCTTAGGCCCAACATGCTCGTCAGAAAGGACATCTGAGAGGGCGAAAGAGATCCATAGAGTTCGAGAACAGACAGTGAGGAGCACGGAGAAAAGGGCGGAGTGAAAGAGGAATGGGCGGAGTCTAAATAGAGTTTGGCTGCTTAGACTCAAACGGGACAACCACTGAACCACAGACCAAACACTTTCCTCATTTCCTCACGCAGCAGCTTTTTCTGCAACAAATGTGGCTGAATGGAACGAATGAGAAGGCGCTGTGTATGTTGGACCAGCCCTTCTCGAAGGCGGCTTCGAAACACTCGAGCTGTGTGAAACATCACAGCGTACATCCCGGAGCAGCAGCCGGTTAGGGACAAGGGTCGCGAAGTGGCGGGGGCCACGAGCCACCGGTGCCCGGAGCACTAGCAGCATGGACTATCAGCTAGAACCTGAACGGTCGTTTTCGTTTCCTTCTGCCCTCCAATAACACGGACTCTGTGGCCCTGCGTTCCTGCAGCTTGTCAAGGGTAGTCACATTGATGACGGAGCGAGAGAGTAATCAAAGACAAAAGAGGAGGATGAAGACAGAATGAGGGAAGACGCACTGATCGCTTTGATGGGCCGTCTCCTGCTCGGCTAAATGGTTGGCGAGATAATGGCGGGATGGACCTGCAGACCTAGTCCCGTGAAACGTGACAACCGACACCATGGCTGCTTGAATCTGCCGCTAGAACTCTAAGATCTTCCCACTGGTGATGCAGCGGCGCGGGTTCAAAGGCCGAGAGTTGCTGGGGGACGCTTGCCAAGTCGAGCCCATACATATGCTTATGCCGGTAGGTATGTGACAGGGGAGCTCCTCATGACCGCGATACATAGTGTCTGGGTAGATCTTCTGCTCATTGAGCTTGGAATAGCATATTCGTATAGTCTTAGGCGCGGAGTAGAAGAGGCTACTCAAGGCTAGGAGGTGATGGAGGGAGGACATCGACAGAAAGTCAGAAACACGGCCAATCAGCTCGTAAGCGCACAGAGCATAGCGCACACTCACACACCGCTTCCGCGACCATTTCCATCCCATCCACAAAACCTCGCAACACTTGGACGGGAGGGTGCTCTTGCAGCACTGCAGCAGCAGGAAAGTGAGGGGGCAAGACAGCAGGGAGGAGCTTTGTCCGCCCTGAGCCCCTTTGACGTCTTTTTCCGGAGTGTGATCATTCTTTGCATCTGAAGCAAAGACCAGTTATCCTTGATGTGTCAAGATCCATGGGGCAAACGCAACGAACGGGTCCCCTGGGGTGGAAGGTTGATAACGTTGTTTCCTCCCACCTCGCTTGTGATGCATCTCCAACGTCGTCTCCACTACCACCGAACTTCGAACATCTAACAAAGACAAGGGGTTGTTGGATTCTCTTTCCAACGCTCGTTCTCGGTAATTCTTCGAGTTACGTGCGCGCTCGCTGCGACGACTTGGCGACCTTGGCCCTTGCCTCCCCAGGTACCGAAAAACTACGTCGATTCGCTCGTGATAGACGACCATAGCTATATGGAGCTGTGAAAAGCCGAGGGCAGAAAAAGGAAAGCAGCTGATACTTCGTTTCGGACTTTCGATATGCGACTATCAACATCGTCAGCGGCCTCCTCGGTCTGCTATGGATCACATTTGCTCTGTCAATTGTCGGCGCCGTAGCAACAGCTGGGGAAGAGTATTTCGCTGGAGAACACGTGCATTTGATTGCGAGGCAACAGCTGCCTGATCTGAGCAATATATCAACATGTGGTGTAAGTTCGATTTGGAGTTGGGAGCCTCCTTTCGCTCGGTTGCTCTTCCGAAATGGAACCCACTTTGGCTAACACTCTGGTGCCCAGTTGAACTGCCTCGTACAGGGTATCGCAGGGGTCGGGTGCGACCTCACGAACACAACTTGCTCCTGTGCGAGCACCGGTCTGGGTCAGCTCGTCGGACCTTGCTTGATTGCAAACTGCACCATGCAAGACTCCCTGGGTGAGTACTTCCAGAGTCGTGATGATGGTGTAGAAAGATGGGAAGACTGACGAGGCAACAAGATGTCGCGAAACTGCAACAAACGCAGTGCAATCTCCCTCACGAATCCGATACCGGCAAAATTCTTGCCATTCTAATCACCGTCTATGTCACGGCTGTCATTGCGATTGTCTTGCGGCTTCTTGCCAAAAACATGGCAAAGACGTGGAGTCTCGACGATGCGTTAATTATTGCGGCGATTGTAATTGCGATTGCCCCTGTATCTGCAATTCTGTTGAGTAAGTTTCTTTTGTCTTGCGACCGGCTTGGATGCGTGACTGACTATGAACAGTGTCAAGCTTAGGATTTGGGAAGCACCTTTACGATCTTAAACCGGGTGGCTTACTGCAGATTCTGCGACTCCGTACGTATATCCCATTCATACTCAAGCCATCTTCCCTAATCCTTTTGCAGTGTACGCCGCCGAGATTGTGTACGTCTTTGTGCTCTTATTCGCAAAGCTATCCCTCGTCGTCTTCTATCTACGAATCTTCACCGTACCGAAGTTCCGCATCGCTGCATACACCCTGATCGGGTTCCTTATCGTCGGCCAGGTGGTTATCGGCTTTCTTACAATTTTCTCGTGTCACCCGATCGAGTTATTCTGGAACAAGGACATTCACACAGGCGCCTGCCTCGACGTCAACCAACGCCTGCGCAAACTCTGCTCTGGCTATCATCCACCTTCTTATCCTCGCCCTCCCGATTGCGATGCTTCCAGGCCTTCAAATGAATCGGAACAAGAAGGTTTCGGTTGCCATGGTATTTCTTCTCGGATCTGTCGGCTTCGTTTCGACCATTATCCGTCTTCAGGTTCTCGCAGTGTTTGGAAACTCCATCGACCCGACGTGGGACTATGCGCCCGTTGTGTGGTGGACGACAATCGAACTAGGTGTCGTCGTGGTGTGCGCCTGTGCGCCCATGATCCGCAACTTGGTCGAGAAGAAGTTCCCCGGCTTTGCGCTCTTCGCGAGGTGGACCACCCCGAAGCCATCCAAGGGCAGCAGTCCGTCCTCGAACGCCAGCGTGGACAAGCCGGCGAAGGCTGCTGGGCGATATCAGAAGTTCGGGCGCAGTAACAGCCCGCCTCAATTTAGTGACAATTACGTTCGCGATTACATCACTAGTCCCAAAGGCCCTCCAGTACCCCCCAAGGACGATCTGCCGCCATCTCGTAGGTACCGGGACATGTACGCCTACGGTGGATCCAAGCCGAAGGTGCTTGAGCCCTCGTCGCCATCCCCTCAGCCGTACGACCTCTCGTGGAGGTCCATGAACCCTTACGGAATTCCAAAAGATGACCTGGAATCAGGTATTGGAAAGACGAACTATAACCTTGATATTGAGATGCTGGAAAGGAAAGGGAGAGATGTGGTAGTGGCACAAAAGGAGCTTTGCTCTCTCTGCGGGAGGGAAAGCTGCAGTCACATGTAACAAAGCTATTTTTCGTCCGTTTTATAGATATCCATTTGCTTAGATACTAAATTGTCGCTCGATTGCCTTAACAATCATTCCTCGTTCTCGTTGTTCCGCCCGGTGATGCTTCCGGAAGGACCCATATTTCAGCCGGGCGTGGTCCCGGAGCGGCCCGGAACGGTCCGATCATGTCAATAAATTTTCAGCTGGTCAGCCACCTTAGTCGCGTGCAGCCCAAGTAAGCCATAAGACTCAAAGATACGGACCGCATCCATCGTAATCTTCTTATCACGGACAGATTGATGATTGCAACCTTAGCAGATAGGGCCCATGGCTTTCCGCCTCAATTCCTATCTGCTTGCTGAAGACTTCACTACCCCGGCCTCCGTTCTCTTAAAGCCCAACTAATGTCGCAGAAAATGCACGATACGAGTACTGCATAGCCTTACTACAGACAGCTCGTGGGAAAGTCTACATCGTTCGTCTGCTTTGACATCGACACACAAACTATGCACAAGCATTGACCGAGTTTCGCCACCTCCCGCAGCTGCTTTGCACCTCCAACTCGCTATTCCGAATCAGGAGCTCTCCGAAGGTTCAACTGTCCCAATCTGGATACAAGCCCGCGTCGCAGCTTCGCCTCACAGCTCTTTTGCGCGACACGATGCGCGCATTCTCACTCTCGTTGAGCCTGTTCAAGGCAACGCTCGGTCTTGTAGCCCTGTCACTGGTCGCCTCGGTCGTGGGACATGGCGATGGTGATCTTCAACGTTACATGGCCTTGGAAACCTGCCCGCCGCTGAAGATTGTCAACGGGGTCAACTTCACCACGCGGGCGTACTGGATGCGCCAGGCCAACCTGGCCCTACCCAACCCATGCCCGTTCGCGGCCTTTGGCTCAGTGATTGTTAACCACACTACGGGCGGCTTGGGGGAGCTGGTCTGCACCGGCGCGAACAACAATGCTGGCACAGGCAACCCGACCCTGCATGGTATGAATCTCACCTCACACAACCCAACAAAGCTTTTCTCTGTAGGGGTGGTTTGCTGATCATGAAGCAGGGGAGATGGCGGCCATCGACAACTGCTCGGCAATCTTTGTAGATCCCCAGGGTCCATACCGGATGACGCCGGCCCAGGCCCTGGCCGCCTTTGCCAACCTGACCATCTACACCAACGCCGAGAGCTGCCCCATGTGCGCGTCGGCGGTGCGCTGGGCAGGCTTCAGGGAATACGTCTTTGGCACGAGCATCGAGACCCTCACGGAGGAGGGATGGGGCCAGATCCAAATCACGTCCAGGGACGTCTTCCGGCAGTCCTCAGGCTTACCCCGCCGAACAAGGTTGCTTGGTCCGGTCTTGACGAACGAGACGGACCCTTCTTTAGTTGGCAGTTTAATGCGGGCGCCCTTGCCCGCAGGGCTGTTCTCGGGGCGGAAGTGCAGGCGGTTGCGTTCCTGCATGATGGGGCCGCTCGAGGTGTACTCGGATTGGGTTGAACAAGGTTGCGGTTCTGCTCTCGGACCCTCCAACTGAAGCAACTTTCGCCGGGTTTTCTGTAAGAGGGGTTTCTAGTCCGTTGGCTTCATCACATTCATCATGGACAGCATTTGGGTGTCGCTTGCTCGAAGCGATTTCCTTTCGTTCTCAACATGAGAACTCCGAGCCGAGCTCATCTGCCGAGATTGTCAGACAAGGAAACACAACACCATACTCCCATTCGAAAACCTGTGATACAAAAGCATCATTGAAAGATGATTAAACTCAGCATAACGTTTCCAGCTGCACAAATAATGATGATGGAACATGAGATAACTGGGTAGGACACGAGATGTCTGCGTGAGCAAAAATCAAAAGAAACTCGCTCCCACACATGAACGTCCTGAGTCGTACGGCCGTGTGATCACGATGATATAAATGACCCCCACCTGATTTGAACAGATAACCTTTCGATAACATCCCGAGAAGTCTCAAGCTGGAGTCGAACGCGCTACCGTTGCGCCAGAGGGCCGATGAAGATGTTATCGATTATCGTGAGCTCAAGTGGGCAGTTAGCGTGGGCCTCGTCTATCCAGGCGAGGGCTAGACCCGCTCTATCTTGTCGTTATGGGGCAGAATCTTTGGCAATGGTGGGGCTCATCTGCGACTTGCTTCACAGAGCGAGGCAGTATCTTCACAGTGACCTGTCTGTGGTGTTGTTGTTGATAATGAGATCCAATACGTTTGCGTCGGCTACAGGTAGTTGCATTCATGTAGGCAACAAATATTGATTTCGAAAACTTGCAGAGACAGCGAGACCGAGTTTCCGTTTTGTGAGAGAGGCTGTAATATGCGATTCAGATGGTTTGTGGGAAGACTACAACGATACGATAAGTCGGGCAATGTTTTTCGTCTTGAGAAACTCGGAGTACCTAGCCTTCGCAGGTGGACCCAAGAGAGCCTATGTGCCCAGATGAAGGGAAAATATCTCACGTGGAAACCTCAGTTGTTGGGCTTCCTCCATCCATGAGCACATGACTGACGCGTGTTTATTCCATGGCTTATTCTCCAGCTCTATCTATCTTGCGCTCCACATTACTGAGCACAAATCACCCCAGTCAGTTCTTTGATCTACGAAGATGGAAAACACAGGCTGCCCTTCTAACATCCTCGTCTCCATTCAGGAGCTTAACACCACCGGTCTATCCTCAACCCGCCTACTCATACCAAACGAAATCTTCGTCTTCGTAACCCCACGCTTGCTGCCAATCTCGCGCAACTTGATCATATCACCGTCCATTGCAGTTTGGAAAAATGTCTGCGTCTCGTTTATGTTAGCTGCAAGACACACCATGGATTCGCGCCACCGCCGGTAAAACCACAAGCAACGATAAAGTTCTGGTCAGCCGCGCCAGACGTCCGGTACGAACATATCCGTCAAATGTCTGGTCCCTGAGTGATGAACATGCGTCGGGACGAGCTCCATGCCGTCGGGATGGGCTTTGACAATGCACCCCTGGCGGCGTGGGCGGGAAGCAAAAGGCATTGCGGTGGACGGAGTTCATGTTCCCGACGAGCGTCTCTGCCACGTCTGGCTCGAAACCTAACCTAACCCTAACCTAACCTAACCCTAACCCTAACCTAACCCTACAACTAACCCTAACCCTAACCCTAACCCTAAGGTACTAAAGTATCTAAATTTAGCAAAATATTTTTTTATTAATTTAGTTTATTATAGCTATACTAAATCGCACTTAGTTTATCGTTTTTATTAAAGTTTTAAAATAAGGACCTAAAAACTTTTTTAAATTTATAAAAACTAAAATATATATTACGTATTTTAATAAAATACTTATTAAGAATTTTTTATTAAAGTATTTTTTAAATTAATTTAAACTATTTAAGGGCTCGTTTTTAAAACTAATAACGTATATAACTTTCTTAGTTCTATTAATAAAATCTCTATAATAAAAGTTCTAATAATTTTTAACCTAAATTAAAAATCCTTTAAGAGTTCTTAGGGTACTATTATAAGTAATAAGTATATTAAGCTTAAGCTTCTATTATTTTCTATAAAAGGTGTAATAATAATATTAATAGCTCCTAGAACGTATTAATTTATCTAGTTAAATATTTAGTTTTTTAGTTTTAGTTTCTAAATAGCTTATAGCTTCGTTAAGTATAGCTTATATTTAGGTAATATTTTCGTTATTCTTTTTAAAATATCTCTATATAGTAATATAAATCTTTAGAATAAAGTCGATTTTTTTATCTAAGTTTTTAATATTCTTCATTTCTTTATCTAAAGTTTTAAGAGGATAGGTCCTTTCTTTTAAAATTAGTTAAAAAGCGGATAAAGTTATTTTAAAAATATTATTTTTATTATTTAATTAGTTTTTATAAAATAAACTTACTAAATAAGAGTAATTAAAGTATTATAACTAGCTAGTTATAATAAGTATATTAATAAAAGTTAAGGTTATAATAATTAAATAAATAGTATTATAGTTATAGATAGTTTCCTAAAGCTATATTTATAAATCGTAAAATAAGTAAGGTTTTAATAATTAATTATAGTTTTATTAAAGGGGTTCTTAGTAAAAATAACTAAAAACGATTAAAAATCTAATATTAAGTTAATTACTAAAAAGCTATAGAGTCTATCCTTAAGCCCGGCTCGAGTTTATATTATATATAAGTTTTATTTTTAAATATATCTTTTATAATATTACTATTTATAATTATCTAACCGTTTATTAAATAGTTATTTATCTTATTTATATATAATCGTTTATCTTACTTTTTATAAGTATCCGTTTTTATTTTATTATACGATTATAGTTATATAATTTATTTATAGTTTTTTTATCCTGAGAGGAGTTACCCTAAGTTCATACTCCTATATATATAGTGTAGTAGTTACTATAAGTTCTATAGGGCAGGCCCTGGCCTTATTATACGTATTAGGTCGTAATACTTTTATTTATATATTTATTTAATAGCTCCCGTATTCTAAATATATAGGTCCCGTATTATAAAAAGATAGGCTCTATATTTTAAATATATAGAGTTCTTTATTTTTTATTATTATATAACTTATTTTATAGTTCTTTTATTCTAAGAGGAGTTATTCTAAGTTTATACTTTTATATATATAGTATAGTAGCTGCTATAGGCCCTGTGGGGCAGGCCCTAGCTTTATTATGTGTATTAGGTTATAATAATTTATTATAATTCTTTAGTCGCTTTATTATAATTTAATTATTTAAATAAAATAAAATATAAATTTTTATTAATAAAATATTATATAACTACTGTAATAAAGTAAGTTTTTATATTTAAAAAATATTTTATTTTAAAAAAGTTTTTATATATATAAAGAAATTATAGTTTTAATTATAAGACTATAGAGTTTTAAAAAAAGTTTTTAAAATAGAAAAATATATTACTTTTTTTTTTTTAAAAAAAAAAAATAACAATTTTAAATATTTATTTAAAGAAATTACTTTTTTTAAAAAAATAAAAGTTAGTTTTTCTGAAAATTCCTTAAACTTAAACGGATTTTGCCTACTTGATTACACTATTGTTCTTGGAGACTATTGTAACCTGATTGTTATAAAGTTCGGAATTTCCATAGATGACTTCTTATTCCTCAACCCCGCGATTAACAAGAACTGTACAAACTTGTACGCCGAGGAGTCGTACTGCGTGCAGCCTGTCGGAGATTGTAAGTTGATCCTTATTCACAAGCCTCTGTATTCTGTGTACGTCCTAAACCGAAGTCTCTAGTAAACACCTACATCGGAAAGCCCGGGCACATCACTTTCGCAATCACCATGACGGGAACCGTCGAGGACTCTGCAACAACCCTACCTGACAATGTCTGGACGGCTCCGACTCCCACGACGACCCTTCTTCCTGTCGCTACCGGAACAAGGAAGGATTGCTATCACTATCTAACGGGAGATGACTGGCAAAAAGACATGACCGGAATGTACTTGGCTTCCAACTGCGCTCTTGCCGCCGAGGTCTTTGATGTTACTCTAGAAGACCTCGAGGTCTGGAACCCGAGTATGTCTTATTAATACTTGACCATTGTTAAAGCGCAGTCGTCGCTAATCACATTTCTCGGTAGTCCTCGGAAACGCATCTGATGCCAGATGCTCATTTGAGAGCGGCTTCCGCTATTGTGCGAAATGGTACACTGGGTCGAAGAAATTCACAGACCCGGATCCGCTGGACTCAAGCTTACCGGCTAGGGTGGGTTAATATTCTCAGGTCCCTACGAATTTATATGCACAATACTAATTTTCTATCCAGGATGGAATGACAGAAAACTGCACGCAAATTGTTGAGGTAGACGCCAACGGTAGTCCATCATGTTCGGAGATATTGAGTGAATGGTCTCTGACCATCGCTCAATTCTACGACTGGAACCCAAGCGTAGGTCCAGAGTGCGGTGGTATGTGGGCAGGTAAGAGATCCAACAAGCTTTGAAGCCCAGAAACAGTGCTATATCGAAAAATTAGGGAAACTAATGCTTATACAGGGTACTACTACTGCATTAGAACCTCGGATTTCGTGGAACCGTCAGCGACAGCAACCATTGTGACTTCAACGTCAGCTGTGGCTTCGTCAACCGCAGGCCCAACACCTCCCGCAGCAACGCACGAAGGCCAGCCATCTAATTGCAACAAGTGGCACGTGGTCACTGGTAAGTCAATCACTTCTGACGAATTGAATTCATTCTTACTCAGTCTTGGCAGGCGGCGATTGCTCCACGGTTGAGGCGGAGTACGGTCTCACGCATGCCCAGTTCCTGGCGCTCAACCCTGCTGTATCAGAGGACTGTCTCACAAACTTCTGGGGTGGTTACGCGTACTGTGTCGGCACGAGCGGCAGCGCGACTACCACCGGCGGCTCGGGGATAACCTCCACCTCAGCTCCATTATCCACTCCGACCCCCACCAACGGCCCCGTAGCGGCTCCGTCGCCGAACCAGGCGGGCAACGCGATCGCAACGTGCAATGAGTATGCCCAAGCTCCGTCAAGAGACTGGTGTTCGGCCTTCATCGAGAGGTACGGTCTTGCGGCTGCAGACTTTTACAGTTGGAATACGGTACTAGGGACCGACGGCGCAAACTGTGGTACCAGCTTCTGGGGGACTTATTGGTACTGCATTGGTGTGGCGGCGTAAGATCTTAGATCTTAGCCCCAGAGTGTTCTAACTACTTTACCAATTGTTGCCTATTGGAACCATATCTATCACGAAGGCTTCATATAATGTGACCAAGAAGTCGCGAAAGGCTAAGTGATAAGTACTTCCCGTGGACTATAATTGCTTTCAGGCCAGATTCCTGCGGTGTATTATGAACATCAACCTCACAAGGCTATGGGCATGTGACTCCGTCATGGGAAACGTCAAAACGCTCTACTAAATTTCTTGCCGGTTCAGAATTCTCCGCTTTTCTCTAATACATTGACTTTGACAATCCTCAACTTGATCAAGTGGGCACGGCTCGAACATGAGTACTGACTGAGCCTAGTGCCTCTACCGCATCAAGAGATGATTCATAGGCACCTTTGTCAAACCCCTATGTCTAGCATTGGAATACCTTACTGTTTACGAGTCTATCTTCTTTCGACGGAGTGGTACACATTTCTTTCTTATATTTACTATCATAATTACTACAGTAGTGTATGCCAGTGGAGGACGTTATATGAACATATTAGTGAACCATAGTCTGGAGTAATATCAATTCTGATGTTCTCGCTTGCTCCTTGCTCTGGATGCTTGATCTCCTTTTACTCTGTTATACCCTGAGCCCTCCCGGGCATCGATTATCTTCGTTGCACGTGACTGAAACAGCTCTCAACTAGACCTGTCATTAAAAGGGATCATCCAAGGCACGGTAAGATGTATTGCCAAGATTGTTCGCATGATCCACTGTGTCTTGTGTTCCCCACACGCCCACCAGAGTAGCAAGCACATTAATGCTGTAGCACAGAAGGTCCAAAGCTGGTAGTGAGGGGGCGGAGCATCATCCCACGAAGAAGGAAGAACTTCGTGATTCTTAGGTCAGCACTAGGCAGTTTCCAGCAGTGATCAAGTCTCGAGGCCAGACGTTCCGTCTTCGCGGGTATAACAGGCAATTGCGCCCCCTCATTTGGTCTTGTTGGGCAGAACCTCTTCAAGTTCTTGCCGAAACCTCCAGTCACCTGCGCTTCACAATGACTACCCAGATCCCCTCCATCTACAAAGCCGTCTTCCTATACTGGGACCCACCATGCGCGCTCTGGGGCGCGTTCATGTCCTTCTTCACGCGCGACTGGATGCTTGACCAATTCTTCCTTGAATCCCATACCGGAACGCGCGATGCAGCACACGACATGCTTCTCTACCAGGGTGGCGGGGCCCTGGTCGGGTGTGCCATCCTCAATGGCATGCTCCTACGATACACTCAAGACATTGGAGTATGGAAGATCGCGCAAGCCGCTATTCTAGCGATCGATCTATCCCTTCTTGCGGGTACCTACGAGGTGTTTGGGAAACAAGGCCGACTCTCGCCTACGACGTGGCAGGTTGGTGACTGGGTTGGGGTGATCATCACGATTGGAGTGACGGTAGCGAGGATCTCGTTCCTGGCCGAACTTGGCTTCAGGAAACAGAAAACGAAGTAATGAATACGAGTGTGATCGTTCAGGCCGAATAACGTGCCTCTTGGTGGCTTATCGGAATTGTGCGGATTGATTTGGCATTAGAAATTCGTGGAATGAAGAAGGTTTATACTTTATTAGGGGTTGGTCATTAGATAGTAACGGCGTATGGCGGCTCATGCAATTGCATCAAACGCATCTAGAGAAGTCTTAGATGTCTTAGTGTGATGCACTTAACGTCACTTGTTGAGTTCGACGGTATATACCAATATAAACATTATCTACCTATTCTGGGTCCTCAGATACCTAAGAAAGTTCTCGTATCGTCAGAATGTAAATGGTGTCTTGAGAAAAAGCCGAGATAGTCCAAACTAAAACCGACTTTTAGTAAATACTTCTCAATCAGTCTGACCTCGCGGTACCTTAGCCATGGCAAGCCATACTGGCGCACGGCAAGACATGGATGGATCAGTATATGACACAATATTAGAAACGTTTCTTTGTTCAGTTATTCTTGATACTCTCAGCCATCACTGCTTTCCACCGCTGTATCACTGCACGCAAGTTCCCTCAAAGTTATGCCTCGGTGGATCGATGGTGGTCGTATCTGAGTACAGCATTAAGAAGAACCTGTGCTCCGTTACCGCAGTCCGTCGGCGAGCAATACTCGGTCGGGTTGTGAGTTATGCCCTCTCTGCATGGAACAAATATCATCGCCGTCGGCACCCTGGTAGAGGTGTGCACACTGTCGTGTCCAGCGCCACTATACATCCTCCTCGTCAGTGATGATGCCTGTTCTCCGAACAGCGACTCGCTCCCCTTCTCTATGCATTCGATACAGTCCTTGTCAAAGTTGGCAACCTTAGCATCTGAGTCGACCTTCCAAGAGACGCTGCAACCACGACCACGAGTGCATCCCGCAGTGACAGTTCCGACGCTTTCGCCCTTGGCGATGCTTTCAAAATCCCTTCGAAGAATCTCTTCCATTTCGTCAATTTTTCTATTCTCACTGGATCGGAGGTCTAGGGAGAAAGTGACAACCCCAGGAACGGTATTCGTGCTTCCGGGCTCCAGGGAGAGGAGACCAGTAGATGCCAACGACTTGAACTCGGTAGCGACTTGATGAGACCGTAGAATCATTTGCGCACTGGTCAGAAGAGCATCGGATCGGTTCTCAAAGTTAGTGGCTCCGGTGTGGCTGTCTCGGCCCCCGACGGTGATGGTAAACCATTTGCTGGCCTGAACTCCCTGGACAACACCGATGCATTGGTTGGATGCCTCAAGAATGGGCCCTTGCTCTGAACAACTCTGTCAGCATGTGGTCACATTCCGCGAAACACTAGATTGCATACCGATATGAAGCTCAAAATGAGCCGCCATGGGCGTCGCTGTGTAGTGTGCAGGTATCCCGCCTAGGTATCCTATCCTCTCTAGCTCAGACCTGACTGTGACGTTTGCATCTTCGATGTCAGCGATCCGATGTGTGCTGTTGACATCCGTCACACCAGCCCACACTGCAGAAGCCATCATGCACTGAGGAAATCTTGCACCCTCCTCGCTGCTTGTCGTAAGCAGTCATATCATGGGATGTCCTCCAATTACAGGCAGCACTTACTTGGTCCAGTCAACAACACCAATAGGGTACTCGGTTTCGATTCCAGACTCATGTAGAGCTCTCAGGGCTGCAACTCCTGCGAGAACGCCAAGGATACCGTCGTATCTACCGCCGGCTGGTTGCGTGTCCAGGTGAGAGCCCATGAACGTAGGGTGACCTTCTCTTCTGCCGGGCCGGATGGCAAAAATATTGCCCATTGCATCCACCTGCACTTTGCAACCATACTTCTTGACCTCTTGGATAAACCAACCTCGTACCATTTTATCTGAATCACTCAACGCTAGCCGAGCCATGCCAGTTTCGGTTGGGGCGCTATCTCATCGTCAGCTTTTGTGGCTCACTTCAAAGCGAGAGAACATGGCGAAGGCATACTCTCCCCATCTCTGTCCTTCGCCCCATTGAGCCGTGAGATGTATGTCATCCATCAGCCGTTGCCTATCTATGGGTACTGTGAGTACAGGGCTGATTGGCGACAGGATTCGGGTAGACGTGGTCAAGGTCGCCGTCTTCGACATGTTTGCGGTGCGATTGGAATTACAAGGTCGCTTTTTCTTAAGTTTCGCTTGCAAAACTTGGAGAGAAGATGCTAGTCGGATGGCTTTTGGAACGTGAACAGAATGATGCCAATTTTCCCCTCGATCTCAGTCAACTCAAGTACACACACGGCTCGATGTTCTAGCAAGTATGGGCATTAATAGTTGGCTCCTAAGCGTACTCTATCGGGGTCCCGTACCCACAAAATGTTCGGCGAATTCGTCTCCACCACGATCTATAAACATATTCGGCGGATTCTAGCTCCACAGGTTCGGCGAAAACGGAGCCTAACTGGTTAATTGCTTCTTTGCCGGTTCCGAACACCCGCTTATCAATGGCTAAGATAACAACCTAAATCTGTTATCAAGACTTATTGTTGAGCTGAGCCGGTGACACTTATCAACTGAGACGGGTCATCTCGATGAGCGCTCTCCCGATATCATGGTCAGACTCATCAGCTATGCTGTCCTCAAAAAGGGCGGCGGAGTCTCAACTCGAACATCATCATCAAATCCATTTAGTTTCCCCTCCCTCATCTCCCAGACAATATGACCATGGAATACCCCAAAGAAGCCATGATTAACTCGGACATTGTTCCGAGCAACAACAACGACTCGCCACATTCAGCCACGGGTGAAAGCTCAATGTTGATCGATCCGGTCCTAGAGAAATGTGCTATCTCAAAATTCGACAAGTACATGATGCCGCAAATGGCGTTGCTCATGCTCATTGCATATCTTGACCGAACTAATATTGGTATGTGAGAATCCCATCGTATTCAGCATTGTGGCCGTTTGCATTGACACGGGCTTTCGACAGGAAACGCTCGAGTCTTTGGTTTTGAACAAGACCTGGGGCTCGTTGGAACACAGTTTAATGACCTGTCAACCTTGTTCTATCCGACCTACGTCCTGTTTGAAATTCCCTGGGTTATGGCGGTCAAGAAATGGGGGGCTAACGCAGTCCTTGCTGTCGCTATGATCGGTTGGAGTGTCGTCACTATTGGAACTGGCTTCATCCACAACTATTACCAAGGTATCGCGGTCCGCCTTCTCCTCGGAGTTTTCGAGTCGGGCCTCTTCCCCTGTCTTGCTTTCCTGATTTCGACCGTCTACTCCCGGACCCAGCAAGCCAAGCGTATTGCCGTTCTCTACGGTGCCATTGCCCTCTCAGGTGCTTTTGGTGGCCTCATTGCCTACGGCATTCAGACAATGGGTTCCAAGGCCGGCCTTGAGGCCTGGCGCTGGCTGTTCATCATCGAGGGTTGTATCTCCATCGTTATCGGCCTGGCTCTCTGGGTCACGCTACCGTTTGACTCTGAGAAGGCATGGTTTCTCAACGAAGAGGAGCGCTACGTCATGAGTCTGCGTGTCAAACGGGACGTCGCCTAC